ATGCATGGCTGTTTGGCTGGAGGGAGGAGGCGGGGCTCTAATTAGCCTGACCCACACCAGGGAGCAATGCAAGTGTTCTCCGCCCTGGTTCTGCCTGCAATACCCCTCTGGTTACCTGTCAGCAAAGCTCCCTCAGCATTCCTCTCAGTATGAGGGTCCAGTTGCGAATTTTGAGAAAATGTGGAGAAGTGTGCTCGGGTCTAGAATGCATGTGGCATCCTTCGCTTTCCTTCACCTCCTAAACGAATGGAATGGAATAACTGTTCCTGAGATGTATGCTTCCTTCCTGGTTTTAAGGAACGCTTCCAGCAGGAGGCAGCACCATGTTGAGTATTGTAACTAGAAACTAACCTTCATTCCTCTTGAGAATTTAAGAGTAAGGGGCTACGGCTCAAAGGGCTTCCTTTATTTTATTTTAAAATATATATTGATTTCAACACAGGTGTATTCAGTTTGAAATTCATTTCAACTGTACTTCTTTGATTCGTGCACTTTCCTGTATGTTATGCTTCAATAAAAAATGTATTACTAAACATGAAATATATATATATATATATATATATTAGAGACTGAGGAAGACCACTTACTGAGTCTATTAACAAATCCAGCTCTTCCTGAAGTATTTGGGGGGGGGGAGAGAGAGAGGGAGAGAGAGAGAGAGAGAGAGAGAGAGAGAGAGAGAGAGAGAAACATGTATTTGTTGTTCCACTTATTTATGCATTCATCGCTTCTTGTATATGCCCCAACCAGGGATCAAACTCACAACCTTGGTGTATCGGGAGGACGTTCTAATCAACTGAACTACCAGGCCAGGGTCAAAGGGCTTCCTTTAAAACTGGCTTCCCTGTTCTATGGTCTCTGAACAGTTGGGGAAGGAAAGATTCCCCTCCACGTTGGCAGTGGGGTGTCCTCTCCCACTCTCCTTGCAGGATACGTTGAAGTCACACTCATTCAAGGAAACCTAATCATTAGGGATTGTACTTTTCCCCAATTAACCTGCATGTCCTTACCTTCTCATGCCTATTTAATCTGCTGTGTTTGAGGTGGCTTTGCTCAAGTTATTTCCAGAAACAGAGGTGTCTGCTGCCTGTCAGAGCTCTTCTATGCAGGATTAATTGTCCCCACAGCAAGGAGCACATGTCTGCTCAGTGGGGGCAGGGAGGGTTGGCCATGCTAAATTCTGAACTGAATTGTGAGGAGGCCAGGTTTCTGATTTCAGCAATGAAAGCTGCATGCACAACACAGGAATCACACACATGGCTTCAATTCCTAGAGGTATTATACGAGCTTCTGAAAGGCTTAGTTTTGCCCATTGCTCTCTCTAGTGCATAGAACAGTGCCTGCATATAGGCACATAGTAGGCACTAAATAAATAGCCCTTCCATAAATGAGAAAATGCTATCAATCTTCTTTCATTCCTTTGTCTCCCTACCCCCACCCCACTAAGTCTAAGCAACCCACTGAACATCTGAATGACTCTGCTTTCTTCCTCCGGATTTACCTTAACCCCAATCTGTTACTGCCTTGCTCTAATACCTCTAACCAACATCCTAGTTGCCTACTGCTCAGACTCCAAACAGCCCAGATCTCAGTTCCAACCTATGTGTTATAATGAGGATGGGCTTTCATACTGGACAGACAGAAGCTGGAATCCCAATTCTGATATACACTAGCCATGGACATGTATAAAACGGGAATAAAAACACCTACTTTAAGTGATGGGGACCATAAATAAGATTGTAGCAAAGCTCCAGAATGCAGAAGGCATTCATTCAACCAATGCTTTTTGTTTCAATAATCTAAAGCTACGGTATCTGAATTTACCTTGTGCTACCCAGCACACTTCGGTCTCACACACTACATTCATTCCAGACAGCACACCTGTGCTCAGGCAGTTTCCCTACAGCCTCCGTATCCTTTGCACTCTTCAACCGCTCCTCTCCTGCTGACCTGTCACACTCTCACTCCACTTATTTGCACTTAATCATGCCTCCTGGGATTATTTTTTCTCAGGTGTTTGTCTTGAAATTCTCTTGTATTGCCTTAAGTCAGTGGTTCTCAACCTTGGCTGCACATTAGAATCACCTGGAAATCTTTTTAAAATCCTGATTTCTGGGCCTCATCCTCCGGATATTCTGTTTCTTTTTTATGGGGTGGGGCCACAACATTAGTAACAAAGAAACAGAATTTCTGGAGGATGAGGCCCAGAAATCAGGATTTTAAAAAGATTCCCAGGTGATTCTAATGTGTAGCCAAGGTTGAGAACCACTGCCTTAGCATCATGCTGGGTGTGGATAAGAGATTTAACAAAGGCTTGTTAAATCAGAATGAGGTTGGATATATCTGGAAAAGACCACTTGCCGAGTCTTTTAAAGAACCCAGGTCTTCCTGAAGTACTGGTTTCAGGCCTTGGGATTTCTTGGTTGGCTATGTGTCCTTGGGCTTTCCTTGAGTTGTTTCAACAATGATGAATATCATACTAAAGGGTGCCAGTCAAAAGATGGCCTCCTCCCTAGCTCACCTGACCCCCTGGGACCTGGAGGGATGCCCACAGCTGTGCCAACAGTAGTGTGGAGGTTGGAAAATTACTGGAAGTTCAGGTCCCTATATGCCACTCATGCTCACTGGGAGCATTCCCCAAAGTTTGTTTTTGCCCTTCTTACTGTTTACTCTGTGCAGCTCCCAAATTGGCATTTCTTTCTGACCTCTTTCCTGAGACTCACAGACCAGAAATCTCCGACGCATCTCTCTTCCTACCTCACCAAGTGCTAAGCCTCCTTTTCCAAAGTAGCCTATTACCATTTCCACCAACCTGGTTCAGCCTCTTCATTTATGAATGGAAAACCCAACAGCTTTGACATTCCTCCTGCTAAACTTCTCTCCTGGCCCCTGTACCTCAGGCCATTCATGATCCAGGAAGGCGCTCCCCAAATTAAAATCCTGCTGGAATCTGATTCTCTTAACTCGTGGCATCAACACAGCCTCCTACCCTTGGAAATCACATATTGTTTTATGACATTTCTGGGTGTCCTTTTACTACTCATAGAACCTCTCATCTCCAGATCAGGTTGTCAGCTCCTTGGGAACACACAACGTAGCTTAGAACACTTCTATTTCCTGTTCATCGCATGTGGCTCTGTCCCACAGTCAACTGGGTTTCCCTGACTGCAAACAGTGCTTTTGCTGATGCTAGAGGGTGAGCAGGCCAAACTGTGATGGTTTCCTAGAGTATCTCTAGAGAAGCCTTAAGACTCCATACACTGGGATCTTACACTGGACCACAGGAGCCTTACTGGTATCTAAGATTTTAACTTCCTCAAGGATAAGGACTGTGTCATAGGTCTTTGTTATTCCACATGATCCAGCCAGAATAATGCTCAAGAAATACCTGGGTTTTCTGGAGGATACTTTCAATCAATGAGAAAGATTGAAGAAAGTGAAGAAACTTGTGAACAATTTTCTTATTGTCAGAGAAGCTGATTTTTTTTTTTTTTTTACGTCTCTTGGATCCTGAAATATAGCACCTAGAAGAGGAGGAATGGATCGGATCATGTGGACATGTGGGCAAGACCTCTGGTTGGTCAGGAGGGGAGAGAGTAAGGTGCTTTCAATGAAAAGCTAAGGGATTGGGAAGGCCGATCAGATCTCATTTGATCCTAGTTGGAGCTTTAGTTGTTCTTTGCTCTGGTGGTGGTGGTCTCTCCATGATTTCACTTTCTTTTTATACAAAAAGGGGTATGCTGTGTGCCTAGAGTCAACAGGCCACTGTGGCTGGGCCCTTCCACCTACCATCACCAGGCACATGGATTCCAGCTGCAGGAAGGGGCCTCCAACTCAGCTACAGAAAAGGCCAGGCCAGGGACTTGGCCACGAAGGCCTGCTTCTCCCCAAACAGCAGATGGACCAGTGCTATGAGCACAGAGCTTGTCAAGTCCATGTCAGCCACTGCCTCTTGGCCAGAGGCCATCAACCCCCAGCCTATGATGAGAAACACCTTGTTTCTCAGCAAACACCCAGTTCAAACCCAGGCCCATCTCTCATTCCTGGTGTGTGACTTTAACTTCTGAGCTGGTCTTCTAAGCTGTAAAATGATGACACTTGCTCTACTTGTCACAGGATCAGCATGAGAATAAAAAATGAGATAATGTCTAGGAAAGTGCTTACAGAGCCAGATCATTCAGAAGGGCTCCTCCACATCTGCTTGGAGTCCCTTAGAGATCTGGCCTTTTTTAGACATTTATAAAAGCCATTTCCAATCACATAAATTGCCTGCTCTGGCCAAAGCAGGCAACTTGATGTCCTGTCCTTGCACACCCTGAATCCATAAGACCACCTGATCCCGGAAACACTGGGCCCCTGCCTCCGCCCAACCCGCTCCTTCTCAGGACCAGCTGTAATGTCACCTCCATTTACATGGACCACTTGCTGGTAACTAATCCTATATAATCTCTTTTGTGCTACTTTTCTTAATGGGTAAATTGTATGCTTCAATGAAATGGTAAAGCAGAGAGCTTGTGAAAAAGAGAGAGAGAGAGAGAGAGTGAGAGGGGGGGGGGGGGCTTGTCTCATGTTTGTATCCCTAATGGCAGCTCACACAAAGGGACCACTCAACAAATATCAGGGGCACATGGATCGAAGAGGCTCTACACTGGCCAAGGCTCAGCTCTTCCCTTTGATTCTTGCATGAACGAAGCACAGAGTGAAGGTGACAGGTCACTTGCCAGGCTTAGGAAACAAAGCCCAGAAAAGAGGTGGCGCCCACCACTGAAAAACGAGATGGAGAGTGGCGCAGTTCACACCCAGTCCCATCTCTCATTTTGCTAGTGTGTGATTTTGACTTCCGAGCTGTAAAGTGAGGATGACACTTGCTCTACTTCCGTCACAGATCAGCATGAGAATTGAAGGAGATAATGTATAGGAAAGTGCTTTACATGCCCTGTGCAGAGTAGTTGGTGTTAGCTATCCCCATGGAGTAGAAAAAAGCTCAGACAGGGGCCAAGTTTTGGCCCAAGGGCAAAGGTGGCTTTTATTTCCTCTGTTGAGGAAGTCGGGGAGGGGGACTTCCCCAAGCACACCAACTTAAGGAAGGGGTGGTGTGCCCTCAGAGGAAGAGAGCCGATGGTCATCAGAAGGGCTCCTCCAAGTCCACTTCCTGGCCCCAGGCTGCAGGGTGTGTGCTCTTGAAAGTCACTCCCCTTGGGGTGCCAGCTCTTGCATGAATGGAGGCACAAAGAGGTATCTGCTGGTGTTCACCAAGAGGAAGGGGGGACTGGTGCCCTGACTGAGGGAGCAGAGGACTGGGGTGGTCGACCCCCACCCAATGCCTGCCCAGGATGGTAACTGGCGATGTGACTCTTCTCCGGAGAAGGGCCAGAGAGGCCCAGAGGCATTGCTCGATCTGCTGGCTGGTCCTTTAAATGTCCATCTCAAACTGTGACTCTTCACCTGGTGAGAGAAAGGACAGAGCAATGGTGATTGGTAGAACTGACATTTGTTTTATTTTTACATTTTATTTTTTAAAATATATTTTATTGGTTTCAGAGAGGAAGGGAGAGGGAGAGAGAGACAGAAACTTCAATGATGAGAGAGAATCATTGATCGGCTGCCTTCTGCACGCCTCCTACTGGGAATTGAGCCCGCAACCCGGGCATATGCCCTCAACCGGAATCAAACCCGGGACCCTTCAGTCTGCAGGCCGACGCTCTATCCACTCGGCCAAACCAGCTAGGGCTATTTTTATTTTTTAAAATATATTTTTATTGATTTCAAAAAGGAAAGGAAAGGGAGAGAGAGATAGAAACATCAATGATGAGAGAGAACCACCAATTGATCGGCTGCCTCCTGCACACCACCATTGGGGATCGAGCCTGCAACCCAAGCGCAGCCTGACTGGGAATCGAACTGTGTCCTCCTGGTTCCTAGGTTGACGCTCAACCACTAGAACTGACATTTTAGAAGCCAGGGAGATGTGTTATCTTTTCATTCTGGTGTTCCTACAAGAAGAGCAGAGGCCAGATTTATGTTGCCAAGGAGAATGGAGAGAAGGCAGGACTACACTAGGTATTCCTGGAAACATCGATCTGAAGGTGCCCTGTCTAGCTGTGCTCTCTTCCCCAATCCCAAAAGCACAGAGGCCAGGTCTCCCATAGGAGAGGTGATAGTCCTGAATTTTGAATACTTTTTATTATTTTTTATAAGAATGAATGATTACTTGTGAATTGACATAAATACAATTTCATAGAAAAAATGTTCCTTAATTATTCCATAGAGCTTTTTGGCGCATGTGTCCCAACTTTTGGTTAAGAAAATGATACCATAACCCACTCAGCACACTCTGAATGCCCATGGAATAGCCTGACCCTGCAATAATTCAGCCACTCACTGCCCTCAGTTTCCACTAAAATTTCCAAGGCATTCATGCTGCAGGTTTTCTTTTTAATGGAACTGCCTCATTCAGCATCTCCTGGGCAAGGCCCAAGGTTCTACATAGTAAGATGCCTGCTCTAGCCCCACAGAGAAACAACTGGCCTCTTCTTCTGGTTACATTAACACAAATATGTGGGTCCAAGACCAGGAGCCTTGGCTTCTTACATCCAGTTCAGCAAAATGAAAAATGATGTCCCTCCCTTACCATCACACCCCATCACAGCTGTGAGAAACTACTAGGTTATTACTGTGGGTAAGGTTGCTGCCTGGGGCACCACTGGGCCAACCCTGCATTTGTTATGGCCAGAGCAGCTCTAGAAACTGGGAAATAAGAGAATATGCAAGTGGGGACAAAGGACAGCCTTCAGGTAATGGTGACTTAACCATTTCAGGAGTGCCCAGCCGGCATGGCTCAGTGGTTTAGCATTAATCTATGAACCAGGAGGAGGTCAAGGTTCAATTCCCAGTCAGGACACATGCCCAGGTTGTGGGCTTGATCCCCAGTGTGGGGTGTGCAGGAGGCAGCCAATCAGTGATTCTCTCTCATCATGTTTCTATCTCTCTCTCCCTTTCCCTTCCTCTCTGAAATCAATAGAAATATTTTTTAGAGAAACTTCAGGAGTTGCACCTCCACCCTCAACTTCCAGTCTTTGATTTGAAGCAAAAAGTAGGGGTAGGAGGCACCGTGCCACCAGCCACATGAATCTGTTCCTCCTTCTCTCCATCCTTTAACACACTGCAGGAAACCCCGCTACCCGGTGCCGTCCTCATCGCTCTCTGTGTCTCTTCCCACCCTTCCACTGCTCTCCAAGCCTGAAAGGCAAGGCAACTGTCTCCTGTCTTGGGCTGTGGGGTTCCCAAGGTAATTATGATTCATGTCCTGCAGGCTCCTGGTAGATGGATTCTGCTGCTGTCAGCAGAGCGAGCCCAGCCCGAGGTCCCAGCTGCTTCCTGTCGGGCCTGGTGTACTGCCTTCTGGGTGAAGGGCGGGCGAGTCCCAGGCTGACTCCGTTTGTCTATAAGTGCTTACACTGCATCCTCCCATAGTGGGAAAGCTTAGACACTCTGATGAGCCAGTCACGGTGCCACAAAGATTACATTCACACACACCTCTGCCAGGGGGGCTGTTCTGATGACTTGGGGGGAAGGAAGGAGGGATCAGAAGGGCTTAGAGACCCCATGGCAAACCTGCAAATAACTGGTTGCGTTTCTACTATTCATCAAGAATCCACTAGTGGATGATACCCTGACAGAAGGCATCCTGGATGCCTTTCTGAGCCTGTAGACATGTAATTTCCTGGAGGACAAGTACACCATGTCTTTGAAAAGTCGTCTCCTGCACATGAATATGGTGGATGTGTTTCTAGTGTTGCGGATACAAGGTGTAGCTTTAGGAACAATTATATAAAGGGGCACAATTAGGAAAGTTGCTATGTGGGGCCTCTTCCATCTCAATCAAACTCCCCACTGATTAGATTACTGATGAGGCCAAATCATCTTTTCTGTGGTTCTTGGGCCCCTTTCATGGGGAAAGTTGGTACTGATGAAAGTTCTCCCCACCATTCCCCCAATCCTTACCCCCCACCCTCTGGACTCTGAGCGGCTCCACAGGTGAGACAGTCACCATCAGTCCCTCCCTGGAACTCCCCCTAGTGGCGAGGATTCTCAGGCCACATACATGCCCATCCCAAAGAAGACCCTGGCCAAGCCCGGCCACTCACCGCCTGCTGGCTTATCTTCAGGGCTGTTCTGCAGGTGGTTCTGGCTGGCTTCAGTGGGCGGCTCGTCACTTACAGGGCTAGTGACCCCCGGAATGGTGGGCAGGTCCCGTGGGGGTGTTTTGGTCACAGGTGAATTCCGACACTCCATCAGGAACTTGCGGTCATAGATGATCCTGGTACCTGGAAGGGAACAGGGACACTGGTAGAGCCACTTTGAACCCCCTGCCTGCTCATTTTTCCACATCTCTGAGGCATGGCCGCAGCACAGGCAGCAGGTCCTCCTGTAAAAGCCTTTCCTATCGCCAGGGTGAGTGGCGTCCTGTGCACCGAAGGGATACTGGTTTGATTCCGGCCAGGGCATATGCATGGGTTGTGGGCTTGATCCCCAGTAGGGGGGTGCAGGAGGCAGACGATTGATGTTTCTTACTCTCTCTTCTTCTCCCTTCCCCTCTCTCTCTCTCAAAATAAATTTTTAAAAATATGTTTTAAAAAAAGACAGACCTATAAAGTGGAACGAGACTTATTCAGGTGCCTAGGACTCTGCTGCCACCAAACTGCCCTGATTCCCCGTTACGAGGGGCACTGAAGGAAGAAGGGGCCCACTGGCCACCTGACTGCGTCCTTTCTCCGCTCAGAGCTTGGCACACCCTGTGCTCGCTCCCTCAAGCCCTGACCTCATTGGAGCTCAGTGTTATTACTTGGACAATCATGTCCCACGGTGGAAAAGGCGTGTTTTTTTACTCACTTTTCAATCCCATCCTTACAGCACCCTCACGGGGTATCCAGGATCTTTCACTCCATTTTACAAATGTGTGGACAAAAAAATCAAGTCATTCCCCAACTAGTAGAAATGAGAACATCTAGGCTTTGTGGAGAGGAATGGCCCACAAAAGGGTCTCCTGTTAAGTCCACCTCCCTGTGCCAGCCTGCTCTGTCCCTGGCACCGGTTTATCCATTGCTCTGAGGCGCCACCACACTTCAAGGTTTGTAGATGGTCTGAGTTCCATTCATTTTCTTTCTGTTCTCCTTTCACAAGTGTCACCCTAAGGTAGGGACCACGTCTTATGGAATCATTCACTATCCTAAAACAACATATTGGACCCATCCTGTGATACTTAAAAAGGGGTGTTTTATAAAGTACGGGACTCAGGGTCCTCGTGGGAGACCCAGCTGATCCATCAAACGACAGTGAACAGTGAGAGGTTATTCCTGATCCCCTCGGAAGCACCAGTAATATAACAGCTCATTAACATTTGCCGATTGCTCCCTTCTCAACCAAGAGCAGGCCTCAGGTTCAAAGCCTTCCACAGCCAGGGGAATCCAGCTAGAATTTTAAACTGTCTTGTTGTCATTATATTTCTTTTTATAGTTACTTTCTATTAATGGCAAGCGAATCTGGTTTTCCATATATAGTGGGTGGTATCAAATTTCCTTTTAATACATAACAGGATATAATTTAATACAGGGTGAGGCAAAAGTAGGTTTACAGTTGTTTGTATGGAAAACAATAATTAATCAATAATAATACGTGAATGAACTCTGTGTTTCACATACTCACAACCGTAAACCTACTTTTGCCAAACCCTCATTTGTGCTAATAAAACCCACAAACTAAGTGATGGCAGAGGTAGCATCTAAGACACCCACCCCGAGGGCATTTTAGCTGCGGAGGGTAGACACTGGTGTTCAGAAAGCCCGCTGACAAGGCACCAAGCGGGGGAAGGAGAGAGACCACAAAGCCACCTCAGATTCAGTTGGGAAGGATGAGGAACGGAAGCTACCGATCAATGTGGTGGGAATGTTTCCTACAAAGCGCTTGGGCTTGTTAAGCCTTTTCCCTTCCATCCCTTCATGGGATTCACCACTACACAGCTTCGGTTAACAGTGATCTTCTGGAAATTCCCTACACCTCTCAGAGATGAGGAAAACGTAAACAAAATACACACACAGTTCCATATTGTCAAAAATAGGAGCTCTTGGCTGGAAGGTTGCTGTGGCCTCCTGGTGCTGGGGACTTGGCCTGCCTTTAGGGACAGGAAATGGACACCAGAGGGGATGCCAGAGGGGGTCCCTGTGAGGCCCCCGAGCAGCAGTGCTGGAGGGCGCTGTCAGGTGAGGTCTTCTGGGGAGTGTGGCTATCACACCAGGCGGTCTCCGCACAACCCTCTTTAGCCGAGGGAATACGTCCTCTCTCCATATTTGGGGAAATGACCCAACTCCACTAGGTTTCTACAAACAAGAGTTTTTGAGGATCTAACAGGCTTCAAGATGGCAGAGCCCAGCAGTTTTCCTGCTGCTCCTCTCAAAAGTCATGTAAAACACTAAGAAACAGAAGCACAGGCTCCAGCTGGGATGCAGGTGAGGCTCAAGCTGTTCCCAAATCACAATATATAAAGACAGAAGGTGAACGGAGGAATGGTGCTAACAGAGAGGGAAAAGGAGACACCTAAATGCAGGGGTGGGGTGTGGAGGTTATAACGTGAAGCAACTGGGGCCGCCCCAGAGAACCCCAGGGAGGTGCAGGGATTAGAAGCATCATGGGAAAGGGGATGGGGCTGATAACATGCAGGGCTGCCATGTGCTCCTCACCCCAGGAGGGAGGGGAAATTAAGCTAAAGCTGACTTTCTGAATGGTGAGCCTCAAATCCCCTCCCCTGCTGCAGGATAGTGAGTAAAGATAAAGCCCTACAGAAACTGATTTGGAGAGGGGGTTCCCCAGGGGAAAAAACCTCAGCTAGCCACCAGATTGAGCCACCAGTCTCCAGAATGCTCTAGGGCAGTGGTTCTCAACCTTCCTAATGCCGCGACCCTTTAATACAGTTCCTCATGTTGTGGTGACCCCCAATTTCATTGTTACAAATTGAACATAATTACAGCATAGTGATTAATCACAAAAACAATATGTAATTATGTATGTGTTTTCCGATGGTCTTAGGCGACCCCTGTGAAAGGGTAGTTCGACCCCCAAAGGGGTTGCGACCCACAGGCTGCTCTAGGGGCTTCCAGTCAGCTCTTGAGCACTTTACTCTTAAATATAAACCACCAAATGCCTCCACACATTTCTGACAAAAACATAATATTGAAAGAAAGATCTGAATAAATTAATAGGAGGAAACAATAAAGGAAGCAGAAGATTTTAAAGAACAGAAAGGCAAAGAGATCAAAATAGGCCAAAAGATAAATTAGAGATTCAATATTGGATAATAGGAAGTCAGGAAAGAGAGAAGAAACTGATGAAAGGAATTTACTTAAATAGAAAAAAAGAAAGAGGATTTTCCTGAATTAAAAGAGTTTTTTCCTGAATGAAATGCCCATTTAGTATCTAGTACAATTAATTAAAAACACTAATTTACTGTTCATCATGATATTTCACAATACCAAGGATAAAGAGAAAGTCCCAAAATCTCGCGGAAAGAGGGAAAAAACAACAGGTGCACACAAGGACTGGGAATAAGAATGGTCCCCAAAATTTTAATGGCAACATTGGAAGCTTGCCATTGTGTCAAGCTTGAGGGAAAATTTGTTTTGACTGAGTTTTATACCCAGCCAACAACTAATCAAGTAAAGTAGAATAGAGATATTTTCAGAAAGCTATAGGGGGATGTATTCTACCAAAATTAGAGAAAGATGAGAGGCTTCAGGGAATCCTATGTCCATAGCTGTGTGGCCGGTCCAGAGAAGCCAAACTGAATTAGTTTGGGGGAAAATGGACTCATAAATTGAGAAGTCTGACTGTGTGTGTAAAACCATAATAAGAGGTGCTAGAGGCCATGGAAAGATTTATTGAATGAAAACTAAGCACATTTTTTTAAATTTATTTATTGCTATTATTTAAAAAATATATTTTTTTATTGATTTCAGAGATGAAGGGAGAAAGAGATAGAACATCAATGATGAGAATTAATTATTGATCGGCTGCCTCCTGCATGCCCCACACTGGGGACTGAACCCACAACTTGGGCATGTGCCCCGACTGGGAATTGAATCTTGACCTCCTGGTTCGTAGGTCGACGCTCAACCACTAAGCCATGCCGGCCGGGCAAAACTAAGCACATTTTTAAATGAAGCAATTGTTTTTAAGCTGTAAAAAATAGAAACTCCATTTCTACTTGGCTCATGGAGTCATAGCAATAAAAGTAATGAATATGTGTTTTTAAAATTTTGTGATATAATTATATTGGGAGAATGGGAGGACAGAAAGGGTGGTGTATACATGCCAATAAATTATCATCTATCAAAAAAGCAAGTCAATAAATGAAAGACTTGAAAAATGTTGTTAGTTGTTTCTGAAGGGTGAGATGGGGTGGGAGAGGCAAGAGGTTGCTGTTTTGTTAGAAGCCTTTTAGTACTTTTGAGTTTTAACTATTTACATATACAAATATTTACATACAGTAACTTTAAAATACTTTTATTATGAAAAAATCAAGCACATACAAAAGTAGACAGAATAATCCTATATAATAAAAGCCTAATATGTAAATTGTCCCCTCAACAGGGAGTTTGACCAGGAGTTCAACTAGGGGGTGGGGCCGACGGTAGAGGTGGTGGCCATGGTGGGAGGGGGTGGGGAAGGGAAGTGGGCTGGCAGCCACTAGGGACCCTACCCATGCATGAATTTTATGCACTGGGTCTCTAGTATAATTACACACACACACACACACATACCTTTAATTTTTTTTTAAACTAAGGAACAGGTTCAATAAATCATGGGACAGACCTACAGTGCAATGCTGCCTGTGCAGCCGCTGTTTGGAAGAAGAAAAGTGTACATTGCTCACAATATACTGTATGAAAAAGAGTCACAGAACTAACTGTATGTGGTTTGTGTTTGGCTACCTCTGGGGGGTAAGATAAGGATTAAAGCAAAAAACAAACAACCGAACATCTTTTACATTGAGCATTTTTTAAAATACAAAATTCTAATAAGGATACAAGGACAATAAGCAAACAAATAAGGATATAGGGTCTGAATTTCCTTTTCTAGTAAGTCAAGTCAAAACTTTTTTGGTTAGCCCTGGCCTGTTGGGCTTGGTGGTTAGAGTGACGACCCTCGGACTCTTTGGGTTTGATTCCCAGTCAAGGGCACATACCTGGGTTGCAGGCTTGATTTCTGGTTGGGGTGCATGTGGGAGGCAACCAATTGATGTATCTCTCTCACATCGATGTTCCTCTCTCTCCTC